AATGAAAACCGATTTGCATAATAAAAAAATCAAGAAAATGTAAAGGAAAAATTACATGAGGCTTCGTAGAGCCAACACATTACGAGATTGCCCGATAGTCACCTGCTACCTTTAACCAATCAAAATCGTGAAATTTGATAATTTTAATAGATGACACCCCAAATTAGATAGATATCTTTGCTTTTTTTCAATTAGATAAAAGATCAGGTGTAACACGAATATTAAAAACTGTTAGAACCCGGGTAGAAGTTAAAATTGTCCACTATTATTGACTTGTTGCATTACGTATAATTACAAATAACTTGACAACTTGCAGGCAAATTTGCCTGCAAGACACAAATGAGTAGAATTTATGCTGGTATTTTCAACACGGGTAATATCTAGCATTGTTACGCACAAAGCTTGTCTAGTTCTAAAGAAAACCTCATTTTAAAAGAGGCAAGTAAAATTGTTAGCATATTTTACGATAGTTATTCAGAAAGTTATTTATGTATTATTCATTATATGGCACCTGAAGTTTTATTAGGTCAAAAGTTTACAGAAGCTACCAATATTTATAGCTTTGAAGCCATCACGTCAGAAATATCAAGTGGACAAAGACCTTCTGATGGTTTCAATTCGACAATAACTTGTACTAAAGATTTTTATTGTGCTCTTGAGACTTCAGATTGTTATATTGAATTGTATAGGTCCCAGTTCACAAAAATGGCCTGACGCTATAATGATTTGACCAACTTAATTATCTGAATAGGCAAGGCTTATGCCAGTATTTCTATATAGTTGAGTGATATATGAAAGATTGAGAACACCTAAACATCTGACATTGTTGCGCTTAATTTTGTCTAGTCCTAACATTTTTAAAAGAGATAAGTAAAATTAATAGTTTGATAATGCATATTTTATGGTAGTTATTCAGAAAGTTATTTATGGTGTTATTCCTTATGTTACTTCTGGAGTTTTGTTAGGTTAAAAGTTTACAGAAGCTACTGATATTTATGGCTTCGGGGCCATCACTTCAGAGATATCAACTGGACAAGTTCTTCTGATGGTTGTTAATCAACAATAAACTTGCATTAAAGATTTGCACTGTGTGATTGGAATTTACTCTCGAGACTCCAGATTATTATATTGAATTAGCTAAGCATTATATAGATCCTAGTTCATAAAAACAGCCTGATGCTATAATGATTTAAACAAATTTAATATCACATTTCTAAATCAATGCTACTGAAACTGACCAGACATAATCCTGAAACTATACAGAAGCCAACTTATAATACAAACCTAACCAACCTGAAATAGCTGAATATAAAGAGAAAGGTTACCAAGAAGACATCCATATAGCTACAGAGAAAATCTATTATGTAGTTATTTATAAAGTGATGCAGATGCTGTCCACTTTAACAAAGAGTAAAAACTAAAAAAATATAAATTGAAGATTTACCAGTTATCTGACTATATTAGATTCGGCATCTCAACCTAAACCACGGTGGCAATCATTTCACCGACAATAACTTCCTAGACACTACATTTCATCAACAATTACTCATCGACAAGTTCATTTCACTGACA